TTTTTTTGCCCTTAAAACGCCATCGGACGGCTTTCGTCCGTACGCCCGTACGGCTGTCCGTCCGTCCGTCCGTATGGTCCGTACGGAGACCCTGAGTACGACGTACGGGGGACGACACAGAGAGCTTGGAGTACGCTCTGAGAGCAGCGACGCATGCCGTGCAGGAGCAGACTCCACGCAAGCGTGGAATGCCTCCTCGTCCACACCCCGTGCCTGAAGAGGGAGGCGCTGCACTTGGAGAGAGTTCGGGGGCGGAGGGGTCGGGGATGCCTCGTGGATTCCGCCGTGAGCAGACCGTTGCACAAGCTAGTGCGAGGGTTGTTGTGTTGAGGAAGGGAGGAGGCCCAGTCACCATCGAGGATGATGATCCTAATACAGATGCGTCTGTGCGGGAGGCGGACGAGGACTATGAGGGCAAGGAGGGGGGAGAGGAGGAGAGCAAGAGCGGTTACGATGGTGACGACGACGACGACTACGATGAGCCCCCACCTTCCCCAGGACCCCCACTGACGAGTGCATCTACACGCTCCGCTGCGCGGACTTCTTCATCCTCACGAGGGAGGAAGAGGTCGACATGCGGCACTCGAGGGGGTACGAGGAGACAGCGCGGGAAGGGGAAGAAGGGTCGTTGACCGATGAGGTCAACACTCCGCTTCTCCCCTACTCGCACTGTACGTCGTCATGTTGTGCGGTCCTTATTTTTTTGGTCGTCTGAGTCGTCTCGTCTTGTCTCAGTATTGTCAGACACTCAGTGGTAGTGTGCGTGCTTTACTTGTTCGTGTGTATGATTTTGGTAGCAGTAGGGTGTTCGTAGAGTATGATTTTGGTGTCAGTAGGGTGTTCGTAGAGTGCCGTCGGTTGCAGCAGACTGAGTACAGACTTTACAGTATCTCGGCAGCTACGACACGACTTGTAGACTACTGTTTCTTGTATTTTTTTCGACATGTGGTGCCAGTGCCTTAGCAGTAGGATACATTGTATCATGTTACATTTTGCATGTGTGATTTTAGTGTCAGCCTGTCAGGTACTTCGCATCGTTCCCGACTTTTCATGTACATTACATTTTCTGTTACGAGTGATGCACGTTGCGTGCCCATTTTTTTTTTCGGTGTGTGATTTTATATCTTTAATTGTTGTTCTCATTTTCAATTTCATTTCTTGCATTTTTTTCTTTTAATTTATTTATGGCCTGGAGAGTTCAGTGCTTGTTTTCTTTTTGTTTCTGTCTTATTTGTTGATTCTATTTGCATTGAATGGAATACTAACTGATGT